ATTTCTGTGCCTGCTCAAGACGGAAACTTCAGGATCAAACGCCGAAAAGTTCATCAAAAAAAAGGAAAGTCAGAAAATTAATTTTTTTTCAAATTTTTTAAGCTCTTTGAAATAGCTAATTTTAATTAAATTTTACTTATTTAATAAATCAATACTTGCGGCGCTTAATTAAATTTATTTTATGTGTATATGTGCGTGTATGCATGATGAGTTATATGAAATTGGCAGCATGATAAGCACTTTAGCTGTTACATACCTATTTACTAGCGAACTAAAAGAAAGCGGTATTGACAGATAACGGTTTTCTATGGCCAATTTGTATTTGTGTAACTATTATTATTTAAATGATTAAAAAACAACAAATTAATTTATATGATTATATTAAGCCAATAATTAATTTTTTTTATATAATAGTGAAAACAATAAATAAGTAAATGAACAATTTACAATTATTATTTTTTAAACAATTATTAAAATAAAAATAAACGTAAAAGTAATTTTCAAATTAAAAAATGTATATACAAATAAATTTATATGTATGTGTACGTAAATTTTAAATATATTTTGATATAAAAATAATAATTGTAGCCTAACAAGCGTTTTAAAGCGAGCAATAATGAGATTTGAGCACTAAGGTATGGCGAGAGACATCTAATGTTTGTACAYGATATTTTCGTAAAAAATTATGATGGAATTATTTTATTTAAACTATTAGTGGGACTATGTGCGTGAAAGTGAACTACACTAAAAAGTAAATAAAAATTGCTTTCAATAATAAAAATACAAAAATCAATATAAAAATAAGTTATAATTAAAATGTGATTCCATATATATTTGAAAAGTAAAATAATTCAGAGAAAGAAAAAATAAGTTATAATTAAAATGTGATTCCATATATATTTGAAAAGTAAAATAATTCAGAGAAAGAAAAAAAAAAAACTAAAAACAATAACAACAGAAAAAGTACACAAAAGTCGACTTACAACTTAAACGCAGGCATTGTTTTATGAACATTTAAAAAATTAAAACAATTTTCTTTCTAGCATGTTTAGATACTAGTAGTAACATACACATTTATGTAATATAAAAGGAATTCTTTACACACTTACGCTACATACACACAGAGATACGAGTAAATTTTGGTGATAATGATAGTAGCAACGATAGATGATATGATTAATTATGCGAAAAAATTTTCYTTACCTTGCGGGCAATATGAGCGCATCGAATTCTGTTGTGAGATGACGTCTTATGATGTTCTTAGAGGGCGGTATACCCAGTGCTGTGGCCATGGTGTCACCGGAAAATGATGGTTCCAATACGACAAGACCGCCATGTACGCCGCTGTCTGGTGGTGTAAAAAAGGAAATTTATTTTTAAAAATGTAAAAAATTTCTTTAGAATCTGGTAGGTGGCTAATGGCAGTATAACCAAGAAATYCACTATATATGGTATATAAATTTACTCTCATATATTACCTTTTAAATTCTCAGCATATTCACCCAAATCAATTGATCTCGCCCAGCGTATGAATCGCTGATTGGTCCACACAATTGGATCGGTGTCCACATTTTCCGATTGTACACGACGCATGGCCAGTGTTTGGCGATCATATTTGACAATGCGAAGCACGTGGATGCCTGGAACATAAATAAAGCAAAGTTTATGGAAAATATGAAATTTAAATAATTTTTTATAATTAATCACTAAAAAACTGCTTTTAAATATTACAATAAGGAATTGCAACACCCATTATGAACTAAAAATGCAAAAATCTATCTCTAAAATGCCACTACTTCAATATTTTCTTTAGCCTCTAACATTTCCATAATTCCAATCTTTCCAAAACCTAACGTACTACAGAACCTCATTGCTAACTCACCATGCACAATACTCGCTTGATGAAATTTCCGCGTCACACCCAAAAACTTCTCCAATTCCTTCTTTGACAGAGTGTCCAGCATGCGCGCATCAACCAGCGAATGCAGAAACGAATCGGCATATTGTGGTAAGCCGATGTCCGGCAGCCATTCGGAGGCCACCCAAGTATGTCCCAGCTGTGTAATCATGGGATAGCGTACCAATTCTGGACGCCTTTGTTCTTCAATGGCCAAACGTAGTTTTTTACGATGCATGGGATGTACCAAGCCTAAACCGGCTTCCAATTCACCATCGTTCAATTCAAGCAACACCTTACCACTTTTCACATTCTCCGCACAACGCGTGCTATATTGTGGCATGCCGAGCGCCACYTCCAGCCAAGCGAGCACTTGTGATGCGCGCCATCGCTCCATTGGCAGTTGTGCGGCGTCACGCAGTAGACGCAATTTCTCGGCATAACCCTCTTCGGAGAGTGGACTCCATGAGTAGTCGGCGTCTGAAAGATAGGGAGTTACTAAAATAGACAAAGAATATGCGTCGGTTAGTGGGTTAGTTGATATGAAAATATGAATTTGTTGACTTTACGACTTACATTCAACAGTGCCATCTGCTGAAAGAGCTTTATTTTTATTACGAGAGCGTGCAAATACACGAGAAATACTACCCCAAGTACCGCCGCGTCCATTGCGTGCACTTAGTGTGCCGGTTTTTGGTGCAAATTTACGTGCAACTGCGCCCGGACCATCCGACTCCACGGGCGAGCCAAGTTGCTCTACGGATCTGTTGACAAAAGAAGCAAAATTCAGTGAACAGTGTAAATAAATACTCAAAAAAAAAAAAAACGTACCTTGAGTAAGCGGCAGAGTTCAGTGGTGACAAAGTTGGACTACGTTCTTTGGGTGTGCCATCTGTAATGCAAATATTAACAATGCAGTAGAACGCTAAACAGTTATTGCACACCTTTCCACTTACATTGATACATATTTTGACTAGAGACCAGTGAAATGCTATCTGGATCCACTGTTATACATGGGCCATTCTCGCAAGTGCCATCACTAAAGTTTAAATCGCCGCCAGTGCTCTCGCGATCACTACTGTTTCGTAARCCCGAATCGTTCGAGCAAGAATTGCGGTCRCCTGCCGTAGCGCCAGAGCCTCCACTCAAGCTGCTGCTAAACGCTGACAGTGAATTCGAATTTCCACGCCCACTGTCGTCGTTGCGCATTGCACTGTTCGCTGTTGCTGTTGCGTTCATTTGATTGATCATAGCGGAAGCGGCCGATGGCGGTGTTAATGGTGCGAACGACAATAAACTCTCCTGATCGGACAAACAGCCGGAGAGTTGRCGTCGCGCCTCTTGTAGTTGATCTTGCAAACGTTGCAGCTGTAGGTCTCGCGCATTYAATTGCTGCGCCAGCGACAACGAGCGTTCGGCCTCATCGCGCGCCTGTTTCAGCAATTGCCARCGCTCGCGCTCGCGATCACCAGTCAGTTTTGCATTATTTGWTTCAGTCTCGCGCACACGATCTTGAAAATTACGTATAAAATCACGCAGTTCCTGTTCCTTGTCTTGTAGTGAGGCGCAGAGTTGCTTTACCTGTGCGAGCAGTTCACTTTTGTCGGCGCGTAATTTCTTGCGYTCAATGCGTAGAGTCATTATTTGACTTTTTGCCGAACGTAACTCTGCTTCCAGCCGATCGACACGTTGTTGTGGCATGCTACCGCTGCCATCGGTTGAATGTGCATCGCCACAGCTATTGGAATCAGAAAGGTCAACACCGCCAACAGCGCCCTCTGGTGAATTTTCCAAAAGTTTTCGTAGGCGKTGTATTTCCGCGCTAAGACGTTCGTTTTCCTCGCGCAGTTTTGTGGGCGAATCTGAAAAGTGCATATTAGGAATTTGTCATAAATTTATTTACGAATAATTGTAAAAGATTTTATGTAATAAAATGGATGTTGCTAAAACATACAACAAAGATTTATTTATTACCGCACCACTCAGATGAGAGTGAGCTTCATCGGAGAAGATAATTTCCTTMAATAAAAATCAYTATCATTTTCAAATTGTTCCAAGGCAAAATTAGCCCAAATCCTTTCTCAAAATTCGCCAAGTCGTGGCTTGAGACAGTCCCAGTTCGTGTGAGCGTCTTGAAATTGACAATAACTTGCCTGACCGACAGACTATGTAATGGAAATGTTGCGAGCCCTTTGCACTATCCATGCATTACAACGAAAGCATTCCTTTGTACCCTCAGCCCTCAAATTATTTATAATGATGTTAATTATAGCAATTGAAATTTAATTATTTTGTTATCAAAATAGACAAACAGCTTAACAGCAAATCTATGAAATTACCATGGTAGCGACGAATTAGYGAAAACACTGTAAATTAAACGAGAAAGCAGCTGTTTGAGTGGTGGGAAAGCAAAGATKAACAAAATTACCGCAACACAATGGTAAAACAATTGCAATTATTCCAAATTCGATGCTAATTAAGTGAACAACAGCGGCAAAGAGCAAACGSGTGGAGCAATTTGCAAGGAATAAATAATTTGCAAACAAACATCTAAATTGAATAGAGTTGCTATTTAACAATGGAACTGAGTGAAACAGTAATGAGGTTGTATTAGTTGTAGGCATTCAAATATACTCAAATTTTTACATATATTCTAGTATATGAATAATATATTATTAATGAACTGATGAGWTAATATTTGTATTCTAAATTAAGTACCAATAGACTTGAAGCTGATGAAGAACATTATTACTTACTCCAAATTTAATTAACAAATTTCAMCCGGACTAACAAAAATATTTCTTACTTATTTCATTACGAATCATTCGGATTTTTTATTATCTTGTTAAATTTTRCAACACCCCTAAAGTATTTTGATAAATTCTCAAGTTGATGCGAGTAACAGTTTAGTTTTGTGTTTTAGAAGTTGATTGGTAAGATTTCTCGGGAACTACGTAACGATCTTCATGAAATTTTTAACAAGTCYTTAAAATATAATTCCTAAAATATTGAACAAAGAATTTTTTGTCCATCACAACAATTTGAAAAAACGGTCGCTAAATTTTCACTGAAAATATAATTTTTTTTTTAGGTATAAATGTCTGCGAAAARTTCAAATTTCAGTTTTTTTCCTTCGTCCAAGATCTAAGTTAAGGTTTTAACTAAAACGCATATTCTTTTCATCGGAAAGTGCGTCGTAATGTCCGAGTTTAACATAATTCTCTCCAAAAATTTCAGAATTACTTTTTTAATAGTGTATATTTGTAATAAAAAATCTAATTAAAGTTTTTTTTTATATAAGAAAAAATGTTTCCAAAAGGCGGTTTTTGCCTCCAAGAAACACATATAACCCCTTAATCCTGTTTTCCATACACTCGTTATTAGTTTCGGTTGTGATGGCTTTCAGTGTTATCAGCGAATTTTAGTTTTTTTTTTTTTTCGGCTTTTTTTGACGTCTCATAAGGTAGTGGTAGATTGTTGGACGTTTTTAATGTACATATTCATAAATATCAATAATGATGCATTTGATGAATGTAKCATCCTCAACTATGTTTTCAAGGATCTCTCTTTTGACCTCTATTCGTGTTCGATTTCGCGAAATATTCAATTATTTTGGTAAGAGTCTAAAAGTTTCACTCTTCATACCCAAAACGTTAACTAAAAAATGTTGAGTACATTCACAAGAAATGTTGAGATCCTCTCCTATCACTCTGTTAAACAACTGTATGACTTCAACTTTATCAAAATATCGTCATTAACCGAAATGGATGCGGTAAGTTATCGATGACTTCCTGACCTTCGTTAATTGCTTTGTGCCATTGAGTAAAGAATCAACTCCAATCTTTCGAATCATTGTTTTCTTAAAATATATAATCGTGCTTATACGAGTATTATCCATAAACTCAGCTTACTTCGATGAGCACTTTTTATACTATTTTATTGTTCTAACGGCGATCGAGTTTTCCATGAAGCACCTTAAAACTCCTCGTGCACCTTTTTTCTTACCAAGCTGACATCAAGGAGTTGAACAATGCAAAAGTTGATTTATTTGTATTTGCCCGAATCACAGTTGATGTTTTCCTGCGTCCAATGCCACCTTTTGACTAAAAATTGCTTAAATCGAACCAAAAGCCATCAGATCCTAGGCACTGAATGTGTGAACTCAATGCCTAAGTTGCTCCTTGCCGAAAATATCCGTCCATGTGTGAGATATATAATTGAAATTCWGAGAGAATTCTTTCCTGATAGTGGTATATCTGTATGTTAAAAATAGGTTGGTTGGGTTATTTAAAATTTTTATTCCTTTTTATGATAGAAAACTTTTTTTTTTTCAACACAAATAAAATATTTTAGTAATTTTTTCTTCACTCTAACTATTCTATTTTAGTAATGTCAAGCACATTTTATAAAAGCAGTTATTATCCAAATTAATGTTCGAATTAAGCACTTTTATAAAAATGTTCCTGACAATGATGTTATTTAACATGTTTTAATGAATCTATTTACAGATCTGAACGCTATCAAATTCTGTTAAATGCAAATTGTAGTTATAAAGAATATTTGGTATATGTAYGTGTCTTTAAATATATACATCTGTATACGTTCGAAGCAGATTAGTCATGAGTAAAAGTTTGCGCTGCAGCTTTCAGAATTARTTCTGCAATCCGCTCACCTGCATGAATGACTGAACTCAACTGAACTTTAACTTATCAGKGCGATTATCACCGCTACTATTGAAGCTATTGCTTTTTGTAGTTGCTATTGCTGCTTAGCTACCGACTCAAAGCTGGTGGTGGTACAGAGCTGATGATTACTTGTTGTGCGTATCATTGTTGTATGTGCAAATCAATGGCTGTAATAGTACCCTATAACCTCACTAATCGGTCGAATGGCAGCACGTCCGTTCTGCAAATCTACGATGTCGCCATAGTGACCAAGCTTGCAGATATCGACCATAATTTAGCAACTGAGTAGACAACGCAATATGCAAATTATTTTTATTGACTTTTTATTTACTTTTTCTTTTGATTTTGGAAGTTGGCGCACTGACTGAATTTTCACTTCAATCAACCGTTCAGTCTAATTGTTGAAATTGCGACAGGGTGTCGGTGATAAATACAAGTTTAACGCAGTGACTTGAATACTATCATAGAAAAAAGAGAATAGAGCTTACGCAGTTCATTTCAATATTCATTTTAGCGCACTTTTTTGGCGAGTGGCAATGAAGCATAGCTAACAAAACGCGAAAGTCGGCTTACAAATGTCAACGTTTGATGTTTGCTTTGGTGTACAAGTCAAATATTGCAGATGTTATTTGCTTTCATTTACTTGTCTCTTTTTATATAAATTTTTTATTTTTATTTTTTGACAAATAAACTTTGCATTTTTTGTTTTTCATCGGGAAAGGTCGCCGCATTGTTTTCGTGTTTGCCATTTACAAGCCTCAGGTTGGATGATTTTCAATGATAATAATATCAAATTGTCGTTTGATGTCGGCAATAATATTTTTGTGTTTTTTTTTTGTTTATGTTGTTGTTTAAACATAACGAGTAAACTGTAGGATTGATGGCGATAATAACTATAATAAATCATTTGCATTATAAAAATTTCAATTTGCTAACATAATTGCAAATACTTGTATGATATCATATTATGTTGTTGTTTGTGTATTGAGTGTTGTTGTTTGTGTATTGAGTTGATTGATGTTTTCGCATGTAAACAATTTAATGAAATTAAGTAACAAAATGCAATCAATACAATTGTAATTTAATCTTAGGGTAATATGTATRTTATTATTATTATATGTGTTATATCTTTTTCTTTGTGACAATTAAAATTATTTATTGGTAATAACTGAAACTAGTACCGATTAAAAAATATAATTTCTGCATTTGAACAGTGTATAAAATGTTTAAAATATTAAATTCAATATAGATTCACTAAAAAAATATTTTGCCAAATCTGTTCAAAAAATTGTAAGAATGAAAATATATTTCTATGGACATATTTCTTAGCTGTAAAAATTATTTTTTTTAGTGAATCAATATTGAATATAATTTATATTTTCGAGTTTTTGTACAGATTTTAGCAGGGCTTGACCATCTCCAACGGGAACCATGGAAAAAATATGTTTTTCAAAATATTCTCCATTGAGATCTGTACACTTTTGCCACTCTGATTRAGGTATCGCCGAAACTTACTCTCTGAACACATCAACCGCCTCTTTAGATGTAGAAATACCTTTCCTTCTTAGTTTACTTTGTATGTCCGGAAGTAAAAAGAAATCATTTGGTGCCAAGTCAGRCCTATATGGGCGACGTTTTGAGTGCTCAAAAATACAGTTGTTTCAGTCGATGTGTGAGAGTTTTTTTTTTCAAACATTTTTCTGGACCAACCTCTCGACCTCGAGCCTTGTTTTGAGCGATGAACAAATTGTGTAATTTCCAACGTGAAGAAATTATTTTACAGTGAAATGTTCATGCAATATATAACCTGTACTAATCCAACTAATGCCTATAGTTGTCTCAATTTCAAAACGGCTAATATCAGTTTGCGACAACAACAGCAATAGTTCATGGGACAATAYCCGATTTTGAACGACCTGCACGCAATTCATGTTGGAGTGATCTATTACTTCGATTGGATTCATCATACCATCGATAACACTGTTGCTTGGTGGAACTTCGTCACCAAAAATTTAATAAGTTTATTGTTAGTGCAACAATGAAATATTCTTAAGTTAATCGATGTCGAAAGTTTTGAAAAAAAAACAGATTTGAAATGTTCGCGTTTTAATCCCTTCTTTGTCGAGATGAATGTTTTAAATTACTGTAAACAACACAAATAGTGTTSGTATGTTAAA